GTCCGCTGCGCCGGCGATCCGGCCTAGAGGTTCCGCGCGCTCAAGGTTCCGGGAGCCGGCCGGGCGAAGGGGGCGGGGCGGGAGTTAGGGTCTCAATGCCCCGCTGCGTCCGCCGGCTCCGCACGTCCTTCCACCGCCCCGCCTCCTCCTTGGAGCCCTCCTGGATTCACGCCCGCCGGCTGGGTACCAGCAGCCTCTGCTCTCCAAGTCTCCTCTGGAAAGTCGCTCGGGTCTGCTAGTCCTCGTCGTGCTTGCTCCCTTTTAAATTCTCCTGGCACCTGCTGTAGTAATTGTCCTTCTGCATCAAAGGTCCTTTAATTGGTTGTAATCACTGATTATTATGAGACACAATAAATAAATGTATCATGTCAGGTAATGATACATGCTATTCGTTAAAATAGGAACCCTCATGCACTGCTGGTGGGAATGCAGACTGGTGCAGCCACTGTGGAAAATAGTATGGAGTTTCCTCAAAATTAAAAATGGAACTCCCACTTGACCCAGTAATCCCACTTCTAGAAATCAGAAACACCAATCAGAAAGGACATATGCACCCCTATGTTCATAGGAGCACAATTTACCATAGCTAAGATTTGGAAACAGCCTAAGTGCCCATCAGCAAATGAGTGGATTAGAAAACTGTGGTACATCTACACAATGGAATACTATGCCACTATAAAAAGAAAGAACTCTTAGCATTCCCAACAGCATGGATGGACCCGGAGAGCATTATGCTAAGTGAAATAAGGCAGAGAAAGATAAATATCACATGATCTCACTCATTTGTGAAATATAATGAACAACATAAACTGACGAACAAAAATAGACTCAGAGACATAGAAGCATTGAGTAGACCATCAAACCCCAGAGGGAAGGTGGGGGAGGGGAGGGATGGTAAGTGATCAACCAAAGGATTTGTATGCGTGCATATAAGCATAATCAATGGACACAGACATTAGAGGGGTGAGGGCATGTGCTGGCAGTGGGAGCAGCTGGGGAGAGGTCAATGGGGGAAAGGGGAGACATATGTAATACTTTAAATAATAAAGAATTTAAATGTTAAAAAAGGAGAATAGAGATATGGGATACTTGAGCAGAGGCCTGAGGAAATGAGGGAATGATCTGTTTGGATATCTAGAGGCAGAGCCTTCCAGATACAGGAAATGGCAAGTGCACAGGCTCTGATGCAGGAGCATGTTGCCCTGTTGCCCTGCGTGTGGACACCAAGGAGGTTATTGTGTGAAGAAGTACGGAGAAGGGTAGTTAGATTGCTCAGGGCTTTGAAGGCCTTGGTTAAGGACTTTGGTTTTGAATCTGAGTGAAATGGGAAGTCACTGTAGGTTTTGAGCAGAGAAATAACATGGTCTATTTTTTAAAGTATCATTCTGGCTGCTTGTGGAATGTAGAGCATGGGAGGGGCAGGGGCAAGGATGGAAGCTCTCCTAAGGGTGACCAGTTTGTCCTGGTTTACTTGGGACTTTCCTGGTTTTAACATTGAAAGTCCTATGTCCTGAAAACCTCCTATGTCCCAGGCAAACTAGGATGATTGGTCACCCTATAGGGAGACTCATAATGCAAGTGAGAGATGGTGGTGTTTAGAATAAGGTTATAGTGATAGGAAAGTGGTTTTGAAAGCAAGCCTAAAGATTTTGCTAGTGGAGTGAATTGGGGTGTGAGCGAATAAAAGGAGTTGAGGATGACTTATAGGCTTTGGCCTGAACAACTGGAAGGATAGAGTTGCCATGTATGGAGAGGAGGAAGGCTGGAGTAGGTGAGAGGGTGGATGATCAGGAGTTTAGTTTGGGACATGTTAGTTTGAGATCATTTAATAGACTGGCAAGAAGGGACATCAACTGGACTATTGCGTGAATGAGTTTAGAGTTCTGAGGAACTGTCTGGGCTGGATATAAAAGCCGTTAGTTATCGGTATATATAGGTGTATATATGATTTTTAAAGCTATGAGTTTAAGGGGAAGGGATGGAGAGAGGTAAGAAGGGTAGAGGGAGGATCAATGGTGATGGATGGAGATTTGACTTGAGTGGTGAACACACAATACAGAGTACAGATGATGTGTTGTAGAATTGTGCACCTGAAACTTGTATAGTTTTATTAGTAAATTCAATAAAAAGGGGGGAAAAATCCCTGAGTCTGAATGAGATCACTGAGGGAGTGAATGTAGATAGAGGGCTAAGGCCTGAGGGCATGCTAACATTTGGTGATCAGGGAAAAGAGGAGAAACCAGCCAAGGAGACTGCAAAGCAGGAGCCAGTGGGGTATGAGGCAAGCTGAGGGTTAAGTAAACCTGGAAAAAAATCGTGCTGAATAGTGCCCAAGTCACATGCTGGGGGGCCACAGAGAGGAAAGTAATTAAATGGTGCCAAAAAGCTGAGCTAGGCCCAGGGGTAGTACAGGGAGGCTGACTTGAACTTAATTAGGGAAGGGCTTTCTTACTGAGCAACCTAAATCTTTATCAAGTTGCCTCATGCGGTGGGTC